ATGGGAATAGTCATTTGTATTTAGTACAACCATGTATTTTTAAAGGAAAAGAAAAGAAAGACACACTATTGCCAAGGAAAAAGTCACTGAATTTCTCTCCAGCCCCCTAAGAAATACATTTAAATAAGTTTTGAGAAACTACCATACTTCACAACTTTTCTTCTGAAGTCAGCCCCTGGGCATGCTGCTAATTTTGTGTCTCAAAATAATGTCTGACAAAGTATTGGTTCTATTAAAGGCAACGTATGAAATTGCAACCATTGCCAGTTTGAATTATTCTTTAGAGACTCTGTAAAACGGGTGTATGCTTAGAAGAGAACTATGGAGCAAGTCCCAAGAAAGGCAATTCAGAGAATTGAAAGCACTTGTGTAAGATGGAGAGTTAAAGTTATTAAGATAAAGACATAGTTAGGATACACTGGAGAGCTCAAGTCTGTAGAAATGAACTGAAGTGACAGCTGAATTTTGAAACACAAAGAAAGTTTACACTTTGGATCAAGTGCGTATGTTACAGACCTTTGGGACGAGTAAAACAGACTGACAGAGTCTCTCAACAAATTATGAAGAAGCTGTTGATCTCTCTCAGTTCGACTGGCTATCAACAGCTCCCCAGTCCCTATTTGATGAATCCTTATTACCGAGATCTACTTCGTGCACCTTCTTGAGGGAATGCAAATTTTTATTAAGAGCAAGACAGTGTGACAAAAGACAAAAGTAATAAGCGCAGGAGTGCGGTTTCTGCTCTGAAGGGGTGAAATGTCAATTCTTCTGCTGCTCATGCAAGTTCTAATGAATTGATTTAGTGCCAGATATTCTCTTCCAAACCTGTCACAATCTATTTTTGAAGAAATGTGGCTTATTAGTTGTTCAAGAGCTTTGTGACATGATTGATATCCAAGTGTAATCACGGTGTAACTCACTTCGGACTCTGATTTGTTTATGCATTCAAGGATTAAATTTGATAGGGGCTTTGCTCTCAGCGTAAACTGGCTGCCCATGCAGTATTGATACGTCAGTTCTCTAGAAGATTGCCTAGCTAGGCTGGATCTAGACATGTCAAAGAAGCTTTTCCATTCAAAGCATTGTAAATTTAAACCTTTCCAACAACGGTCCGTATAGTAAAAGCTATGGTTTTCCCAGTAGTATGTATGGAAGTGAGAGCTGGACCATAAAGAAGGCTGATCACTGAAGAATTGATGCTTTTGAATTATGGTGCTGGAGGAGACTCTTGAGAGTCCCATGGACTGCAAGAAGATCAAACCTATCCATTCTGAAGGAAATCAGCCCTGAGTGCTCACTGGAAGGACAGATTCTGAAGCTGAGGCTCCAATACTTTGGCCACCTCATGAGAAGAGAAGACTCCCTGGAAAAGACCCTGATGCTGGGAAAGATGGAGGGCACAAGGAGAAGGGGACGACAGAGGACAAGATGGTTGGATAGTGTTCTCGAAGCTACCAGCATGAGTTTGACCAAACTGCGGGAGGCAGTGGAAGACAGAAGTGCCTGGCGTGCTCTGGTCCATGGGGTCATGAAGAGTCGGACATGACTAAACAAAAAAAATAAATAAACAGGGAAAACAGGTAGAAAAGAGGGGCTCCACATCACCATCTGGTGGCACAAAATTATATCGCACATACAACACATAAATTCCTGGAGAACAACAAGAATTGACAAAAGATAGACATAATATATTACAAGGACAGGAAGAAATATTACTGACACACAGGAAAGAGAGAGTCTGAATGCTTCATCTGTTGGCACAGAAATTATTCAATGTGTCACTACAAATGGAAGCCGTTAAAATTGCAGCTGCGATAAAAGGGATTGGTATCTGGACTGGAGCGTAACTGAAATTTATAAGACTTTGGAATGGTGAAACAAAGGAAAGCATCAAACTGTTAATTCTAGCATGTGGGAGGCCACTTAAATTGTATAATCTGGCATCTCAATGATTGGTAATATTAATTGTATTATAATTTGGCATTGCTATAACGAGGCTGTTATTGGATTGGATTGTTGTAACTGAAAACTAGTAAAAATAATTATCAAAAAATAAAAATAATAAATGAATCACCTTTTCTTTTCCAGTCTGGCTGAGTCCCTAGTTTCTGCAAGATGCTTCAGTAGGTGGAGCTAGAGTCAATGACACACAGAGCCATCCCGTGACACATGTAGACCTGCACCTTTCTTAAGATCCCCAGAGAAGGTTCTCGTGTCTGTACTAATTTTAGTGGAGGCCGGCTGTACGTAATGGTCTGGCAGAGCCTTCTGGGTGGTGGCACCACAGTTTTGGAAGTCCCTTCCCCCTATGACACTGCTGGCACCTATTCTTTTAAGGTTGAGATGCCTGTTCATTATTCACCCAGAAGCCGGTGTCTGTGTTGACTGAGTGTGACTTACCTGCCTTGTTTTCAGTAACTGTATTGTGAACGTGAAGCTGTGTTTAATTGCTCCACAATGAAGGGCAGCAAAGAAAAGTTATAAATAACCACTCACTTTTATAGTCAGTGCAATTTCTGTGTTATCTTGTTAACATGAATGCTTCTATCTCATGGGTAGGCAAACTAAGGCCTGGGGGCTGGATCTGGCCCAATCACCTTCTAAATCCGGCCCGCGGATGGTCTGGGAATCAGTGTGTTTTTACATGAGTAGAATGTGTGCTTTTATTCAAGATGCATCTCTGGGTTATTTGTGGGTCATAGGAATTCATTCATCCCCCCACCCGCCAATATAATCCGGCCCCCCCACAAGGTCTGAGGGACAGTGGACCGGCCCCTGCTGAAAAAGTTTGCTGACCTCTGTATCTATCTCATGCCTTCAAGTCTTCTCTCTAGGTGAGGCCAAGTCAGTTATGACCAAAATCAAAAGCAAGCTCTCCAGCATAGTTCCTAAACAGAGAGCTGCACTGATTCATTAGTTATTCATTATTAATCTGCACTTTTTATTTTGTCATCATTCTTACTTATATTTACAACATTGTCTGGTGATGCCTCTTTTGTAACTAAACAGCTCATCAAACACAACAGTTTTATTAACCTTCTAGGAAACCTTCTTTCAGTTTAGTCATGGTCTTTGTCGAGTGAAAATCTGATTCTGGGCAAAAAAGGGAAAAAAAGGTGCTTTTCCTTATACATCCAATCTCCTTATGCCTCTGGGCATAATTTCTTTTCTTGACTATTAGAAAATGGACTCTCGGTAAATCAAGAAAAATTCATTTCACAGCATGGGGAGGATATGGATTAAGGCACAACGTACTTAAATACTGAAAGAAAAATGTGGGGGAAACATGTCAATGGCTGTGTACAGCATTCTAGAGACTTGGGGAGAGTGTTGTACATTTATCCTTCCTTGCATCTTGCAAACATTTCTTTTTTTATTCATAATTTTTGTGTCTATCCCCCCCCCCGCCCAGCCCCCATTTTACAATAATATTGTTTGGTCTCTCCCTCCTTATCCACCGTCTCCAGGACTCAGATCTCTTAACCTCTGTGGAAATTTTAGTTGACATTTAATCCATTAAGTCAGGCATAGCCAAAAGAAGTTCATTCCAGATGTTTCTGGATTACAACTCCCGCCATCTTTGATTTTTGGCCATGCTGGCTGGGACTGAGGCAGGTTGAAGTCCATCGGGAGTTGAAGTCCATCACCGCTCACCCAACCAGCTCCCCAAGGCTTGCCGGCCCTGGTCCCATTTCAGGGATTGGACGAAGTCGTGGCAAGCCCCAGGATTCCTTTAGCAGAATTCCCTTCCAGCACCATTGGAGGGGCAGGCACAGCCTATCCTGACCCCTCCACCACCAGTTTTTATAACCAATGCCTAACCGCAACCTTGCAAGTTGTGACGAATTGCTAAGTAGTAGTAGGCAAAAACCAAATGGCACCAGCCAATCAGCCAAATGGATAAAATTCCTACTAGGCCCCTGCCCCAATGGCAGACGACCCCATGACAGGCACAGCAAGGTCAACCAGATCACAGGGTGGGCGGGCGGGTGATCCGAAGCAGTCTGCAAAAGAGAAAGCAAAAGCAGAGTGCCCTCAATATTTAAAGCCTTCGGTCCCACCCACCCAATTTGCTACATGCAATTTGCCCCAGCACCCGGTCAGCCAATCATTGCTCCAGGCAATAACCATTAACCTGCCTGGCAACAGAGGGTTGGCCTGGCAGACCCCCCGCCCCCCCCGCAACACATGCTCTCATTTTAGGAAGAACACACTTTCCTGGGCCACTGAGATCTACTTCTGATTAAAGCATTCACACAGTTGGCCGGAGTGTCTGTCTTTTCTTAGTTCCTTCTCATTTTTCTGGTTGTATTTCTCCCAGTAACCAGCTGGGAGCATACTGTAGGTAGTTGCCAAGCAGACAGTAGCTAACTCATGGAAGCTTTTTATCAGATTGGCAGAACATCAAGAAGCATAGATGAAGTTGTGCTAAGGTTCTGTGTCCCAAATACATAAAATGAATGCTTTTTGAAGTGGTGAAATGGCCTCAGGTGTCTCTCTGCCTGGAGGTATCACTTGGTGGTGAGGAAGGCACAGATGGGAATCAAAGGCAGAACTATAAATGCCTGATTTGAACCTTTCTTAAACTTTATTTTCTACAAGCTCCCTCTCCAATTTAACAGTTCGTCATTTTTTAATTCATTCTCCTAAACCTAGTAATATCTCTTTTAGCATACGGTATATTGCTATGAAATGCTGTTCATTTATCTGCCCAAGAGCATGCATATATATAAAGGTACAAATTTAGGGGCTCTAAGAGGGGGGAAATGTAATCCAATTTTTCCAAAGGCAAACACTCTTCAATATTTCATGATGAGGCTTCATACCAATATTCCACTTATCATACATGAAGAAAGACTGCCATAATGTGAACAATAGGAATTCTTCACATCTCAGCATTCCACTTTCCTTCTTTCTTTTCTTTCAATGACAGTGGCTCTAATGTGTTATTATATCATTTAATTTTTTAACTTTTTTTTATTCATTTAATTTTATATATTGATATACCACTTAATACTGAAACAGACTCTAAGCAGCTTACAGAAATAACAAATAAATCTCTATGTGGGACAAGAAGCTACAGTTAGAACTGGATATGGAACAACTGACTGGTTCAAAATTGGGAAAGGAGCACGACAAGGCTGAATATTGTCTCCCTCCTTATTTAACTTATATGCAGAATTCATCATGTGAAAGGCTGGGCTGGATGAATCCCAAGCCAGAATTAAGATCGACGGAAGAAATATCAACAACCTCAGATATGCAGATGACACAACCTTGATGGCAGAAAGTGAGGAGGAATTAAAGAACCTTTTAACCCATCACCTCCTGGCAAATAGAAGGGGAAGAAATGGAGGCAGTGAGAGATTTTACTTTCTTGGGCTCCATGATCACTGCAGATGGTGACAGCAGCCACAAAATTAAAAGATGCCTGCTTCTTGGGAGAAAAGCAATGACAAACCTAGACAGCATCTTAGAAGCAGAGACATCACCTTGCCAACAAAGGTCTGTATAGTTAAAGCTATGGTTTTCCCAGTAGTGATGTATGGAAGTGAGAGCTGGACCATAAAGAAGGCTGATCACCGAAGAATTGATGCTTTTGAATTATGGTGCTGGAGGAGTCTCTTGAGAGTCCCATGGACTGCAAGAAGATCAAACCTATCCATTCTTAAGGAAATCAGCCCTGAGTGCTCACTGGAAGGACAGATCATGAAGTTGAGGCTCCAGTACTTTGGCCACCTCAGGAGAAGAGGAGACTCCCTGGAAAAGACCCTGATGTTGGGAAAGATTGAGGGCACAAGGAGAAGGGGGATGACAGAGGACGAGATGGTTGGACAGTGTTCTTGAAGCTACAAATATGAGTTTGACCAAACTGCGGGAGGCAGTGGAAGACAGGAGGGCCTGGCGTGCTCTGGTCCATGGGGTCATGAAGAGTCGGACAAGACTAAACGACTAAAGAACAGCAGCAGCAGCAGCAGCAGCAGCAGCAGCAGCAGTATATCGATCAAAAGCCACAGTTGCACAATCTAAAAGGAATTGTTAGAAAGTAGGACAGAGGCACTAACATTATAACTAATGAAACGAACACAATAAACCCCACATCTGAATGTACTGCTCCTTATGATACTCTGTCTCTTTGCAAGTGCCCCAGTATTTGCAGATTACTATGTTCGTTTGCAAGTGGTAGACTGTGGCACATGCACTCCTAACATATTGCTGTGTGTATTCACATGTAGCATGTTACTGTGCATTCTGGTTTGTCTTCGCATGTGCTTTTCAGCGTTAATCCTCTTCATCTACAAACTGGGCACATGCCAATTTGACAAAGCCATCAGTGTTATGTCAAAAGTTAATAATATGTAATCTTTTTCAATGCTAAATTCTTAATTACTAACTTCTTTCATGTCTTATCTTAAGCTGCAGAATGCAACCTTGTGAATGTTTGAGGAAAAGTAAAACTAACAGCTAACGAATGAAAGGCTGAACTATTCAAACTTGAGGAGAGATGGGGAGGAATTTGTTTGGCGTGCTTTTTCGCTGTGGGACTGATCTGATCTGATACTTTCAAGGTTGCGTGTGGATTGGAACACAACTCCCAGTCTGATTACACACTTCTCCTGACTTTGCAGTGCAGTTTTTGTGTGGGAAAAGTTCACACAAAGATACATATTGTATCTCAAAAGATGCACACAAAATGCATATTTTTATGGATGAATACATTGAAAAGGGCACATTTTGCATCAAAAGTGTGCTATTTACATAAAACACGTGGGCAAAATACATGCAATTCAACTGCATGCTTTTTGTTCATTCAGTGAAAAAATCCACACAAAAGAGAGCAGAATAGACCTATGGCTGAGCAAGAGGATGCAACAAACTGCTCAGCCCATCCCTACTTTGAGATCATCAGACCTGCAAATTTGCTCTGTCAATTCTAAAGATTTAATTAATTCCTTACAAAGTGTTCTAACCCTGTTCTAGGCATACCGACTCATAAACGCAAGACTCACCTTCTCCTTTCTCTTGCGGCAGAGTAATATAGAAAGCCTCAATAATGCCTGTTTAGGCCTGTTATTGGGTCCACGTCTGCATCCTCTATCAATCAACCTCATCCTTGTCACTACAAACATATACCATTCCGTGTTAACCACAATGAAGGCATAAAGGGACAGTAGAGGGCAAGTATGTTGCTAAATGGCCATTGCTGTCATAGCGTCCTGAGTTCCAGTGTCTCTCCAGCTGCAGTGGAAGATGTTTCGGACCAGAAGAAAAAATAACAGGGAGTGCCAGGGTTCACAAGGGCTAAAAGTAAGCACAATATGTGAGGATGTTGATCATGTATGCTTCTTACATGGTGTGGAAGTTAAGCCTGTGTGCCTTAATTTCCTTGCTTTTTCACACAAGCCATTAAACAACAACAACACACACTCTACACATTAGTGGAACTCCATCCCTGTAATTGCCAAAGACTGTTGTGGGATGTATTCTTGCTTTAGGCCCCGCACCCAACCCAGGTATTATTTCAAGTGCTGAAAGGTTCTCATTGAAGTTTACTGACATTTGTGCCTCTAGAAATGGAGAGCTTGACAGACTGCGGTATTGCCAATTGGGCCCATCAAGTAACAAATGATTGCTCTTCTTCAAGACGTCACCCTCATTCCTATCTCTCTCCCCCCTCCACATTGGGGAAAGTCTGTCAGGCCTTGACATCCCTCAGGCAAGGGCCCCAACCCCTTCTTATATGGCCACGGGGAAAGAAAATACAGGGAGCCCCTCAGGCTGCCTTGCCTTCTGTTGGCTTCTGTCAGTTCTGTCTGTTGTCAAAACCTTTTGTTGTAGACAGATTGGCTCTGCACCCCCTGTCTCAATGACCTTTAAATGACTGCTTTAAAAGCTTTTGTGTAGTTATGTTGAATCACCAACTCTTCTGTCCCAATGCTGCCTCCTGCTTCTTTGCCCATCTAGCAGCTGTCAGCAAGACTCCATTGCTCTCCCCTCTGCAAAACATTCTTATAACGATGTTCCCTCTAAAAAGCAGCCTCTGTATGTGTGTTTCATCAGGGCCACAGTGAAGGGGGAGCCAAGATCTCACACTCCCCCAGATTTACGTATAAGCTAAACAAGCTATAGCTTAGGGCCCCTGTCTCTTGGGAGCCCCCAAAAATTTAAAGGGGGAAAAACCTGGGTGTACATTTCCAAAATATAAGATAAAAAACCAAATAAAATAAAACCTATGTACATCAACAGTGTTTTGTGTTGGGTATGGACCTATTAGGTCCATAAATTACCATATAGCATATATTCAACACAAAAAACAGTGACAATTTGTTGTTGACAAAGGACAGCTGGACATATAAAGGGCCCCATTACCTTCAGTAGCTTAGGGCCTCATCAAACCTAAATCTGGCCCTGCCCACCTGCCACAGATGCAGCTGCTTTTGGAAGAAGAAAGTTAAGCCAGAAGACTCAACCCAATCACAGATCTTGCACATCTAATGATTCCCATTACGTAAACTCTCCAGCACAGTTTTCACTTTCTGACTCTCAATTTCTGGAAAGATAAACCAGGCATAACATTGGCTGGGCAGAAACAGGACCTAGCACCTGTTGCATTTATACTGGCCTAGCTCAGACTGAGTGTCTACGTAGGATCTGGAGACCTGTCCCATTCTTAGTTCTCACAAAGTCTTGTTGCAAAGTGTTCACAGGGATGTTCACGCCTTACATTCAAGGAGTGTACAACTTGCATAACCGTGTGCACAAGTAGCCGGACAGTGCACATGTAGTATTCAATGAATGTACAGTCTCCACTACATACAGATTTGCTGCTATCAAAAGCAAATGGCTTCATTAGCAACTACTGAATGCATTGCTGAAGAAATTCCCTTTTACTGGCAAGAAGGTAAAGCATACTGGGTACCTTATGTTTCTTGAACCTGTTTCTTAACAGGGGTTACAGTCAATAGGAAGAATTGTGGCAGAAAGTGGAATGCAACTTTTAAGGGCCTTCTCAGCAGTGGCTTGTGGAATGTCCTCCCATCAGATGTCAAGGAGATAAAGAACCACACGACTTTTAGAAGATATCTGAAGGCAGCCCTGTATCAGGAAGTTTTTAATGTTTGATGTTTTATTATGTTTTTATATGTGTTGGAATTTGCACACAGTGGCTGAGGCAACCCAGTCAGATGGGCAGATAATAATAATAATAATAATAATAATAATAATAATAATAATAATGGACTAAAACACCAACTTTAAAAGTAAAAGACACTATTTTTGAAACAATCATAGACATAGCTATCAAAATATTGTAAATACATACTTCTTGTTAGAGTTGTTCAGTAGAATCCCTGATTTGGACCTTGTTAAGAGTAGAAATGAATCTCTCCACCACAAGAATGAGTTTCAAAACTTTACTGCAGAATAATCTTAAATATTAGTTACAGTAAGATAAAGGTTACAACATAATAAAGTAACAAGTTGCTCTCAAGTACCAGCCAATATGGTTCAGTCCTTTATACAGTTTAGTAAACTTTCCTCTCTCTGGTCCCAGAGAGAGATCCTAGGTTTTTTCATCACTGTGGAGCTTAGCTGCAGCTGCAGCTGCTATAGCTAGCCATCACTGACTTCTTAAATTTCCTCTCCAGCTGTGAGAGAGCTGCAGCTCAGGTTTCTGTCTATGAGTCATCAGGTAGCCTAACCCTGTGAAATGGAACAACATCAGTCTTCTGCTTTCATCTAGACTGCAACCTTTTGCGTCATGTAAATTTCTCTATTATGCAAATGCAAACTTTTACATAAGTCTTAACTTCAGTGCATACAAACATTACATTTTCTGCATATTAGACAGTTTTACTGTCTTTGAGAAAGTATGCTTTTCTTTGACATAGGAATTCATATGCTTTTCTACTCAGAATTTGCAAGATCTTAACAGGGATTCCTGATGGTTTTAATATGCATTCTTAAATATTCACCTACAGTTAAGGTTGGGGGAGAACTTAGATTCAGTTGGGACCTATCAAATCTGCACTTTCTGAAACAGTATGCAAAATGAAACAGCCATCTTTTGATATTTGCACTGTTTTTGCATTTTACAATGCAGTTCTTCATCTAAACAATATATACCGTAAATGCATATACAGTGGTACCTCGATTCCTGATCGCCTCCGTTGTCGAACATTTTGGTTTTCGAACGCTGAAAACCCAGAAGTAAATGCTTCCATTTTCAAATGTTTTTCGAAACTTGAACGTGTTATGTGGCTACCGCTGAGTGCAAGAAGCTCTTGCAACTAATGGGAAGCTGCGCCTTGGTTTTTGAATGTTTCGGAAGCCGAACTGTCTTCCGGAATGAATTACATTCAAGAACCGAGGTACCACTGTATAAGTAAAAAATTCCCATTAAATGCTTAGCTTTTGCCCTTACTTTTAACCAATTGATGTTTCTCTTGATTCCACTTGGGTGTCCTGGTGAGAGAAAAGATAGGGTTGAATTTGTTTTTTTTTAAAAAAAACTAATTTCATAAACTAAACTTCATACAATGTGGCTCTGGTAACCTTTGAATGCAGATGGAGGAGGCGTAGTTTAGAGAGCTTCATGAACTTTGTAAATGGGGAACACGTAGCCATGTTGTTGGACCACCATCAATGACCACTAAGGATAATGAGAGTTGTTATCCAACCTCTGAAAGGTGATAAGTTCCCCATTGTTGTTCTAAAGGCACATCCAGGGAGAGAGATGAAGAGAGAGATGCTTCTGACAACACAATTCCCCTCTGACTATGGTGGCCTCCCGAGTCAGAACCACATCTAGCAGCGAAATTAATTAGCACTTTTAAGCAGGGGGTCATATGAACATCTACCCAGGTATTTTCATGCCTGCTAAAGCATAGCAGTTTGGTGTGACTGCTAGAATTGTGAAATCAGAATCGTTTTGTTGCTGTTACCAACCTCTGTACATAAATGAAAAATAACATTAATTTCATTGGGGAGAAATAAGTGCAGAGTAGTTTAAATGCTCTGTGGCCAGGACTCTTCTGCTATGGCGTCTTTGACATTTGAATTGCAAACAACCTTTCTTTGGGGGAAGGGTGGGGGTTGGAGAGAGAGAAAAACGAATTCCCTTGTATAGAAACCTTGGATAACTGCCTCATATGTAGTTATACAGGTCGCTGCCTTCTGCATTTTTACAGTGGCACTGGCAAATATTTCAGAAACCCTGCTGCGCTTGCTTTCTTGCTAAGAGAGCATACTGCTAGTCCCCCGGAGGCAACTGTCAATATTCAGAGTAGCTTCACTAGCTACAAAACGGGATTGAAAATTAACAGGATGGACACAAGCGACACTGGCTGAAGTGTTCAGATTAATCTTGAAGAGGTTTGGGACACCTCTCCTTGACACAGCCTTCTCCTGACATCAGGAAGAAACACTGTACAGGCAAGGATTTGGCTATATATTTCAGTACCACCATCTTAAGTAGCTGTATCAGTAATTCTGGGTCTTGCACCTATTTGCAATGGTAGCCAGAAAGATTATGCTTCTCACTTTTCTGTGTTGTTTTCTGTCCTGTCCTTCATTCAAGGAGGGGAATGGCTCCAGCGGCAATTATTAAAGAAGATTATAGAAAGGAAAGGGAAGAAGCTGTGTGAGGCAAACTTCTATTGGCACCATCTATTACAATATTGAACACAGCGTCAGGAAAAATTAGAATCTGAGGAGGGCTTGTTCTTTAATGTCACTTAATTGTCGTCAGGTGAATTGAAATAGGCGATGAACATGTCAGTGTATGCTATCAGTTTGGGCAGATGTCACATTGCTTTTTTAAACACACACATACACACAAGCCCAGCACAAATGTCCTTTCCTGCAACAGAACAGCACAGCTAAAGTTTAGCCCCAAATCAATTTGATATCAACACATTAGTGGGGGTTGATTTCATTGCCGTGTGCATTCACTGCCGAAATGGCAGAGTTGTTGAGATGGCAAGCTGAGGGGTTTGGTTGTAAATCGATGGTATCAAAACAACAGCAGCAACAACAACAACAGGCCACTACTGCTCCCATAGATCCTTCAATGGAAATTGACTGATCTTTTTTAAAAATTCCAAAGAAATCGCAACCATTCTTTAAAATGCCCCCAAATAGTAAAAACAAATAAATAGCCATGCTTAGTTACCAGATGAGCTGTTTCCTCCTACTGCTTCAGCAAGGAGCTATTGTGAAAACTTCCAGCTTTTCAATCTTTCCTTCTGTCAAAGCTTCATGCCACTTTATATGGGGGCAGGGGCAATGAGGCCAGTTGCCATGGTCCCCACACAGGAAGAAGGCCACTTCAACAAGGTCAGATCTATTTTCTTCCGAGGCAGTATTGCTGGTGGAACGCCAGGACCAGGAATAATTTCAGTGTGTTGGGTCTGCCAGCTGTTGTTAATGGGCCATTAACTTCGGCAGAATGGTGTGTTTTTATTGCCCTGATCTTTGGTCTGCAAATTTTAACAATGGACCCTTTAACTCCTCCCTTTCCCCCCCACACCCGCAGTCTGACCAATAGCTTGGATGTCAGGGTGATGAAGTGATCATTCGTCCCAAGAATGTCAAGAAATATTTACTGGCTCAACTTGCATTCTTAGAATCTTGAACGTGTCCTTTTCCCATGAATTACTGTAATTTCAGCACACTTTAGAAACACACATTATAGTCACTGGCTGGGCCATTGCCAATTTGACCTTGTATTTTGGAAGTACCATAAGTTGTTCCCACATCTTCACTGCTATAGTAGTAATTGGTGGTCCCTTGACACTCACTCTTTCCTGGGACGAGTCAGGCGGCTAGGTCAGAACAGCCAACTTGCGGGGACTTATACTAGTGAATGGTGAAACCCCCCAAATTCAGCTTGGATTGTCAAATATTCACCAAGGTGCAGACATTCAGGCATGTATAAATCGGCAAGTGTATTTTGGATTGTAGCCTTTAAAAAGTGGAAGAATGGAACCACAGACTTATCTACAGTTAAAAGCAGCTTTGTTCTCCAGAGGTGCACAAAATAAGTACCTCTTGCAAGATTTCTCCATAATTGATAGTAAATAATATAGCACAGTTGAAATATATTTCTACCAGCAGATGGCACACTTAGATTACATATTTCATAGCCACTAAAATATTTCATTATTCCAGATTACCCCCCCCCTTTTTTTTGAGGGAAGGGGAGAGAACCTTGTTTAATGGTGTTGCTTGTTTAAAAACATCTTATTCTATTTGACACACTCCTTGTCTAAGAAGTATTTTACAGAATAATAGAAACACAATCTCCACGATGGCTGAATAGGCCTATGTGCAGAATTAACCTTGACATCAAATCTATTTAATGCTTATGTTTTCATCTTTCTGACATAAAGATCAAACACTTTCCAGGCAAGAATGTTTCGTTGGCATCTGCAGGAGAAATAGCGTGCTGCTTCTTTAATGGATCAGGATTTCACCCTGCCTTTTCCTTCACTTGCCGGACTCAGTTTAAGCTATTCAGCTGAAGATAAATTTTGTTTCAAATCAAGCGATTAGGTTACAAATAGTCCAAGTAGATTTCTGGTCATCAGCTAGGGAAAGACAAGATTGGGACCTGAAATGTTTGTTGCTGTGTATTCCTATAGGATGGATTATGAATAATGCATAACATTTATATAGCACTTTAGAAGGTTCAAAGCATTGCATGCACATTGCTGAAAGCTGGAGTCCTGAGCATCAGCAAGCCTCATAATTAACCCTCTTGAGGATATGGAGTTATAAATGACCCCGAAAGAACATTCAGGTGTGAAACGTACCACTAAGCAGTATCACGTCACACTTCAACAGCAAGGGATCAATTGACTCACCAAGGAACAACCCTTTTTTTAAAAAAAACAACAAAGCAACACAAAATAACAGAAGGTTTTGCTGAAATGGCACTGGGGTCATTTAGAGCCCAATTAAAATGTATGTACGAGGAAAATAAAGAAATAATGCAGGTTTAATATTGTGGAAAGTCACATTTAACTACCCTAAAGATACTTTAGGGTTTTATATACAATATTTTTATATTATTCACACCTCTAGGCCCTAGAGGTCTTGGGGGGTTTTGAACCGAAGGGGCAAATTCAGGAGTATAACAAACTTGTGAGATCTCCTAAGAATTAATACTGGAGAGTCATTACAGAGGTCAAATACCATCGTTGTATACTTGCTACTATTTTAAGTCATGGATGGAAAACCTGTGGTTGCGGACTTCAATAGACTCATCAACAGTCAGGGATGGTGGGAGTTGTAGCTCAAAAGCGCCTGGAGAGCAATAGGTTTCCATCCCCCTTTTAAATATTTCTAAACTGTGTTCCCTTAGTGGACTATGAGGCAGGGTGGAGTCACCCTCCTCACCCCAGTATTGCTGCAGCAGCTTACCTGGATAAGAATGGGGCAGGCCACACCTGTGCAAAGCAATGAATTCAGGTTGGTACACAGGTGCGCTGGAATTCCATAGCTCAACCAGGTGCCCTCGATGGTCCACATTTCCAAAAGAGGGAGATGGAGCTAAGTATTTTATATTAAACAGCAGTTATTTCTAAGCACCTCTTGTTTCTCTGAAACTATATAATTGAGGATTATTGACCTCAATTCCAGATTTGTAGACTGTATAGAAACTTATTCATGTACGCTACTACAGCAGCAATGTTACTCACCCCAAAATGGAAAGAAGCAGAAGTCCCAGCAAAGGAAGAATGGATACAAAAACTAATGGAATATGCAGAAATGGCAAAACTTACCGGAAGAATAAGAAATCAAGATAACAAACTTTTTATAGACAAATGGAAATCGTTTATGGAATATTTACAGATAAATTGTAAACAGATAAAAACATTTGCAGGATAATTGTAATAACCTGTGGTTTTATAAGAGTATATATTTAAGCAGATGAATAAATGAGCAAATTCAGTTAATTTGGATATGCAGAAGATATTAAAAATAAATTTAAGGAACTGCAGAAAGAGGGGGAAGGAAGTCAAGTTGTGAAATGCTAAAATGATTGTAAAATTAGTGAAATGTATAAATCTGAAAAGCATAAATAAAATATTTTTTAAAATCACACCAATACATAAATTAAAACATTAATCCAAAGTAAACACAGCACAAAGTAAATCCCTCTTCCATAAAATAGCAGTGGATACTCTATAAAACTGACCTCCAAAAGCCTGGCAAAAGAGAGATATCTTCACCTTCCTCCTAAAATCATGTTGAGTTGAGAAGTATATCAGTGGTGAGATGTATGTCATGTAAAAGTACCACTAGGGTACACATGGCTGATTTCAACCCTTACAGAGGGATTTTATGCCTTACAGCTGGGGTCCTCGCTTGCTGATCTTAAAAACGGGACAGGTTGTCATGAGAATCATAGAATTGTAGCGTTGGAAGGGACCTTGTGGATGTCCAACTCCCTGCAACGCTGTCCCACATAGGGATCGAACCTACAAGCTTGGCGTTATCAGCATCATGCTCTAAGCAACTGAGCTAAGACAAAGACAAGGTATTGTCCCAGATAGCTGGGTCCCATGTCATTCAAGGCTTGAAATATCAGCATATGCACCTTGAATTGTGCTTGGAAGACAATTAGCAACCATTGTAGCTGCTTCATGATGGGAATGACATGCTACCACAAGCACACAGGCCCCTGAATTTTGCAGTAATCGCAGCTTCTGAACCGTGTTTGAAGGCAGCCTCGTGTCCAACAGTAGTCCGACATGGAGGACATCTTAAAATCAGGTTTTCTGATTCCGAACATATGATCACCATCATTTCCCTGCATAGCCACGTCATTTCTCAGCATGGTTAACTGTTGCTAACCATTGCTCCAGCAAAGGTGGCAGTTGGTGCACCAGCTGAAGTTGGTCAGAGCAACTCGTAACTTCTGAGACTATCTGCACCGCCAGTGACAACGATGGCTCTAGAAATACCCCCTCCATGTACTCACTCAAAGGGTTTGCAACGTCACCCATAGAAGGCTGCTCTGTCCACCCATTGAACCAGGAATGGACCATCCACAGCTGTCAGGTACTGAACTGAAGGGGACAAGATTGAGGAGGAATAGTGGAGATCGCGCCCCCACCTTCTCCTGAAGCTTCCAAGAGGAAGGCAGTATTGATTTACAGGAGGAGTTTGAGGAAGGTCACAGCTCAGAGACAGGCGAACAGAGAGTTGGGAGGTGTTGGGAGAAGGGAGTGGGGAGACAGAGCCAGAGCAGCAAGAATCAGGCTCAATCAATCAAGATAGCTTTGAGACTCTTTCAAATGAAAGTCCTCCCCCTTCTTTTGGTGGGCATCTCTTTAGGCTCCCGTAGGGATTTTTTGAAACTGGATTCTATCCAAACGCGATTCCTTAGAGCCATCCTTAGGATTCCCCCCTCGGTAGCGGGTGTGGTTATGAGATTAGAGGTCGGCTGGCAAGCTCTACGGTATGTGGCCTTGAAGACGAAGCTCTGGCTATGGCTCAAGCTTTGTTTTAAACCAGTGGGTATTGCCCCCTTGATATTGAGTGACGATTTCCAATCATCGTGGGAAAGGGAGGTCATCAATGAGGTTCAATCCTGCGGATTGTCTCTCCTTTACTTTGAGTCCATGACGTACAATCAAGCTAGAGCTGTGATCTCCCAGAGACTGAGTGACATTGCCAGACAAGAGGACATAGCCCAGGTAAAACCAGGGATGTTCCTAGGGGACCAGATTTATCGGACCATACCAGCCCCCTACCTTGCAGAAATCCACTATGTGGAATACCGTAGACTTCTTACAGCGGCCAGATTAAATGTCCTTGACTCTGCGATATTGTGGGGAAGGTACAGGGGAGTACCATACGCCCAGAGAACCTGTCATTGTGCCATGGGTGTGGTTGAGTCCACCGAACACATTCTCTTGACTTGCCCTTCTTATGCAGAGCTTAGACAAAATTTTATAGACCCACTCTTATGTCAATTCAGCTTCCTACCCGGAGAAAACCAGGTTTTACACTTGCTGAATAACACCACTAGAGCTATACCTTCCTTGGTGGCCAAATTTCTCTTCTTAGCTTTTAAGTGTCGCAAGACTATAATTGACTGTATTGATATGGGGCTATCTGTTTAGCCCATTTTAGTGTTGGCTAAGTTTTAAAATCTTCCTGGATGTTTTTAACTGTGTATTGACAAAATGTACTTTTTTCTGACTGACGGTCGAATAAAAATGATGACTGAGCCAGAGCAGCCAGCTGACACGTTATCACTGGAAAATATTTCTGACCCCCCCTTCTCCCAGAACTCGGTGTTCATTGAGAGTGCAAGAGCAAAAGACTCAGAGACAATTAGCCCCTGGAGACCACCATATGGGGAAGTGCTGTTGCTAGGAAGGGAGGGGGGAGCTCAGTGGGAGCAACGCCATTGATGGGAGACAGACTGCATTCCTTTGTCTCTCGCTGTGATGATTGAATAAACTCATTAGTAAGAACTCTCCTTTGTTTTTCTCTGCTTCCTGCTGCCTCCAGTGGAGGGAGAGAATTCCCCGAAGCCTGACAACAGCATACCGTATTTTTCGCTCTATAGGACACACTTTTTACCCTCCAAAAATTGAGGGGAAACGTGTGTGCGTCCTATGGAGCAAATGCAGGCTCCTTGGCTTCAGCTATACCAACGCTAAGCCTCCGAAGCGCAGAGGGAGTGCTCCCTCTGCGCTCCAGAGGCTTCACGTTTCTTTCACTGAAGCCTGGAGAGCAAGAGGCGTCGGTGCGCACCAACCCCTCTCGCTCTCCAGGCTTCAGGGATAGCTGCCTGAAGGCCTTCGGAGCGCAGCGCAAGTTCCCGCTGTGTTCTGGAGGCTTCAGGTTCCTTTCGCTGAAGCCGGGAGAGTCCCGGAAGGCTTCAGGGATAGCCACGCGCAGCCCCTCCGGCAGGGAGAGGCTGCACACGGCTATGGCTTCTTTAGCGGGGCTAAAGAGGAAGCCAAAACAGTGAGCGGGATCCATCCCGCTCGCTGTCTTGGTTTGTGCCATAGCCGCGCGCAACCCCTCCGGCAGGGAGAGGTTGCGCGCAGCCTGTACGCTGCTCTTTGGGGCTGGGGGGGGGAATAAGATTTTTTTTATTGATTTCCCCCTCTAAATACTAGGTGCACTCTATGGTCCGGTGCGCCCTATGGAGCGAAAAATACGGTACATACAAAATATGGACATTCCTCTAGATGGCTTCTGTCTCCTGCATTATGATATTTCCCCTGAATAGGTGAATAACGAGTGCCCAGTAGTGTCTTGTGATGAGGTGGAGCTTCCCTCTTGACACTTACCTCACTGAGCAAAGCTGGAGCAGGACAAGGAGGCACCAAGGCTGAGACTGAGTGGGCCCATCCAAGCCCCATCCAGGTAAACTACAGTGATGATGGCGTCAGGAGGTTGGTCTCACACAAGGGGTGCCACTGCAATGGCTAGTTCATCTGTCTATGTTCACTCTCATTACATTGCAGTTAATTTATTTAATAACTGGACACATCTGGGACAGCAGCAGATATGGATATTTATGGACTTCACTTCCCATCAGCTCCAGTCACAAGGCAACTGGTCCAGGATGATGGAAGTTGCAGACCAAAACAATTGGTTGAACAATCAACCCTCTTCCCAGGGAACTCTGGGAACTGTGTGTTTGGGAGGGGGAATAGAGGTCTCCTAGCATCTCTACGGGACGCGGGTGGCACTGTTGGGTTAAGCCACAGAGCCTAGGACTTGCCGATCAGAAGGTCAGCGGTTCGAATCCCCGCGATGGGGTGAGCTCCCATTGCTCGGTCCCTGCTTCTGCTAACCTAGCAGTTTCGAAAGCACATCAAAGTGCAAGTAGATAAATAGGTACCGCTCCGGCGGGAAGGTAAACAGCGTTTTCGTGCGCTGCTCTGGTTCGCCAGAAGTGGCTTAGTCATGCTAGCCACATGACCCGGAAGCTGTACGCCAGCTCCCTCGGCCAATAAAGCGAGATGAGCGCCGCAACCCCAGAGTTGGTCACGACTGGACCTAAAGGTCAGGGTTCCCTTTACCTTACCTAGCATCACTACAGCACCCTTAAACTACAGTTCTTTGAAGAGAAGCCATGCCTGTTTAAAGTGGTATAATAGTGCTTTAAATGTATAGTAGATGATTATATAATGGTACAGATAAAGAGAACTGCCACTTTTCTGAGGAAGGGTGCCAAGCTGAGAGAATCTATTTGATAGAATTATCTCACAAGTTCCTGTAAAATGGAGGACTGGACGACAATGAAAACCAAAGATAATACAGAGGTACCTCGGGATGCGAACGGGATCCGTTCCGGAGCCCCGTTCGCATCCTGAAGTGAATGTAACCCGTGTCTACACATCTGCGCGTGTGCGGGTCACATTTCGGCGCTTCTGCGCATGCACGTGACATCATTTTGATGGTCTGTGCATGCGTGCGTGGCGAAACCTGGAAGTAACGCACTCCGTTACTTCCGGGTTGCTGCAGAGTGCAACCCGAATTTGCCTAACCCGAAGCGTATTCACCCCGAGGTATGACTGTAATAATAATAATAGTAATAATAATAATAATAATAATAAACAACTATCCTTGTTTTAAGCTATGGAACTAGAATATAACTATCTGGGAGTGGGGACTCAAGATTTCAAAGTACATCCCATAGAGGGGCTGAGGAAATCGTGGGAAACTTTTGGCCCATATGCCTAATTAAATTCACGAGGCCTTGAAGGTTGGTTCAAAATATTTTTTACTTACCATGCTATCAAGACCATTTTGGAAAAATCTAAGTCTGGGTCCCAATTTATGGCAGGTATAAAATTGCAGTTTTGGAGAACACCATTGCTACTGGAAGGCATCAAAATCTGGTTTTGCTAACTGTAATTTCCAGAAGCATGCCCAGGCTTACAAGCATAACAAGCCCAGCCAACATGACAGGATCACAGCATGAAGATGCTGCTTCAAATATTGACATATTTGTGGTTTGCTTGATGTTTGTGTTTCGGTTTGTGACAGTCACGTTCCACATACAGAGCTTCACATCTATTGTGTGCACTGTTGTGCCATTATATCTTTGCTGCAACGGCGTTAACATCTTGATAATGTGGTCAGCGGAGCTGAGCAACAGGGCATTAGATGAAGCTCCCACTGATATTGTGGCCTGAGCAGTCTGCATTCCACTGATGTGCTATGATTTTGCTGTTTTTCAAGCGGGGAAGAATGCTGTCGAGCATTTTGCAGCACATGTTGCCTTGAAAGTTCAGTCCCTTTCCTTGACCATTCCCTCATGTCCTTGCTAATCAGATTGTCATGCTGGCTGCACTAGCCAAGGGCATTGCGTTTCTGCAAAATTGTTATTGCTGAGAATCAAAGATACGCAGTGACATTTGTATGCGCAATGCGTTCCACTTGTTTAGCTAGCAGCCAGATCATTTAACATGACAATTATCAATGTGAATGGAATAGATGAGGACTCTTCTCTTGCAGCTCACAAATGGGACAAGGGGAGATCAGTTAAAGCAATAACGATGCACAAATCAGAAGCAGTTCTTCCACATTTTTCACGCAGCTGAAGACAAAAAGGTGTTTTTAATGGCTAGAATTCTAGGAACTGCTGAGCTTGCAAGCAAAACGTTTTAGGATAGGAGCATAAAGACAATTGTGCCCCTCCATCATGGCATTGCAGTAGCACTGTGAGCGAACCCCAGTTGCCATTTTGATACAGAACCTGTTCTCATACGGGAAAAACCAGTCGTCGCCACGTGTGATGTAGCAGTACTGTACAAAGAGAGCTGTTAAAAAAGAATAGTGGGTGGGTGGCATGTGAACAGACAGGACATGTGTTCAATAAAATCAAACTCTGCTTTTATGACCCTGTTTAATACCTCTGGGGAGATACTGTGCTGTTCTGTGCATTCTGTCTAGAACAGGGGTCAACTTGAATAAAATAAGCCCCACCCCACATAATTGCTCACAAGACATGGAACACCCCCCCCCACTTAAATGTCAGTGCCCATTAACTTTGAAGGGGCCTTTGGATGGGGGCCTAAGGGACCTCAGCCTGCAGGAGTGAGCTCCTATGGACTAGAAGAGGGATGGCCAACTCCCAAGAGACTCCCAAGGAAAGCCCTGTTTGTGGGGTTCAGGTCAAGGTTGTTGAGCTTTCTTTAGGGGAGCCAAACTTTTTAAGCTTTTTCGGGGGGAGCCAGTGATCTACCAGTGATCTACCACAGACGTCCAGTGATCTACTGATAAATCCCGATCTACCTGTTGGACGTGCCTAGACTAGAAAATCTATTGTTCTTATCATGAAGACTAGCATCCCTGTAGCAAGTGTCCCAATCTACTGGTACCATGAAGTAGAATTCATTCTGTCAGTTGTGGACATCCTGTAAGGAGTTCCTTGCTCATAATCTGTTTTTAAGTATCTCAGTTAGAACCACTAAATCAAATACACAGGGAAGCAATTGTGTTAGCTTTAAGGAAGGAAGAAGTCATTATAAAGGGTACAGCAGCAGGGGACAGAAACTGACCAGTTAAAGGGCTAATTCAGAAATGCTACAGCCATGAATGAACAGGAAGCAACTGATTATAGGGTCACTTGCTGAAAAGCAGAAGCTACTTTAAAAGAAAGCAGTAAGGAGAAAATACAACACTAAAGTTTGGAGAACCCTTTTCCAGCCACCACTAAACAAGATGGTGCTGTAGTTGTATTGTTTGTTTGTTTTAAAGATCCCACAAATCACATCTAAGGGAAAAGTAAGTGAAGAACAGCAAGAAAAAACACTGGAATGCAGTAGTTTGGTAGCAACAATGTATTATCTATAGAAACCGAGTGAAACAGGAATGATGTTTCTTTAAAAGCAACTACAGTGGTACCTCGGGTTACATACGCTTCAGGTTACAGACTCCGCTAACCCAGAAATACTGCTTCAGGTTAAGAACTTTGCTTCAGGATGAGAACAGAAATTGTGCTCCGGCGGGGCGGTGGCAGCAGGAGGCCCCATTAGCTAAAGTGCTGCTTCAGGTTAAGAACAGTTTCAGGTTAAGTACGGACCTCCGGAATGAATGAAGTACTTAACCCGAGGTACCACTGTAATGTGGCAAAGAAGTTTGGCTTCTTCCTCATTCTGTTATGCCCCAGTCCTGGATCTGCAACATAGAAATAACAGATGAGACTTGCAACAAACATATTGGAGTATGTTCCCACCCACTGAGACAAGTGTGGGCCACTTGCAGCCCCAGATCCGTAAGTGGACTTCAGTCTAATTTAATGCAAATGACAGTGTGGTGTGTGTGTGTGTGTGTGTGTGTGTGTGTGTCACATCCTCACCACCTGAAATATACTCGGAGTCAAGTGTGGATTTTATGCTCTTTATTCAGCTCACAGTAGTGAGGAATGGAAGTTCCCCTGAAATGTCTGCTTTATATACATTATTTACATAATGGGCCCCGTGTGATTGGCTAATTCTGGGATTCTCCTGTAGGCCAATCAGGTTGCGGATTCGCTTCCACCTGGAGTTGGATTGGGTGGCTCCTGCGGACCAATCAGACTGACTGCTGCATTCTGGATCCTATTGTTCTAGGACCAATCAGACTGCTGCATTCTGAATCCTACTGTTCTAGGACCAATCAGACTGCTGCATTCTGAATCCTATTGTTCTAGGACCAATCAGACTGCTGCATTTTGGATCCTATTCAACTCAGTACATAACACCATCCAACACTGCCCATTCTCACAAATTGAGAGAGAGAGAGAGGATGAAGTGAGATGGGGGAGGAAAGAAGAAAGAAAGGAGATTCTAACACCATTCTTTGTGTTGGTGTATGGATCTCAAAATATTGTTTTATTTTTCTGTGTATAAGACAATGCTTGTTTCCTATATTTTTTCAGTCAAAAATGGGGGTCGTTTTATACATGGATGTTGAATGCACAGGGGTTCGGGCTCTGCTGTGGGCAGCCTGAGTTTGGGCTCTTGAAATATGGTGATCCAAACTTTGGGCAAACCCCCCCCCCCCCAAGCTCAAAGTGAAGGAGCATGGCCTTAGATGAAAAAGGCTGTCATTCTGCCTGTAACAAGTGTCTTGTAGGCTCTCAGAGTTCAGACTCTTTTGCTATGGCAAGTCAGTTTCACGGGTGGGATAAATTATACTCCTGAAATCCTTTCTCCTGCTGTGGTATATAATGCAGGCTGGGACACACAGTTCTGGAGAAAGAAGAGGCACTACACAACCCTAAACCTTTTCCAGGATACATACTATACGATAGCAAGGCCTTGAACAGGTCATGTCTCTGCATGCATTTCCTCACGGTTCCTTTATGTGGTAAGTATGGACCAAATGGCTCAGAGTGAGGTGCAAATAAGCAGAGCCAAAGCAAGCTACTTACATCGGCAAGCCCAGTTTGAGTATTTATTCAAAGATAACTCATATTGATTTTCTGCCCTCCTGCAGAGTTTTCAGAGATAATCCCTTCCATTTGTTCAGGCACTGCTTTCCACCACCTCAACATCTGCTCTGCTATTTTCCTCGCTTGTTCACAACGTCAGCTTCATGGGAGGCAGACCTGTGGGCCGGTGCATAACAAATAAGTTATCCTATTGAACTGTCTTGTTTTGAGATGCTCTTTTAACTCGAGCCAATGCAAAATGGCCTGATGGCACATTATATTCACATTCAAGACAGCTTCTTTCCTAGGGAAGCAAAATGTATTCTGGAGGGGAACCATTTGGAGTAGAGAAGCCATTGGAAGAGAGGAGCAGAGTAGTTCTTAACCTCTCCTCTGCCACTGCTCTATCCGGCCACCACTTCTTCCTTATATGTGATAGCAAAACTACTCAAATAACACAAAGTCCAGAGAGAAAAGTCCTCCTGATAACAAAAATGAACAAAAATAGTGTGTAATTTGAGGAGAAACAAACAGAAGTTTTGTCTTTCTTAGTTCAGGTCTTCTAAATGACAGGGAAGCAATAAACCAAACATACAAAGGAAAACTCCCTCAGAACTACCTAGTCAATCCAAGAGTCTGCCACCTCAGTGGAAAACATGTCACTCTGCTTGATTGCTATGCAACACTTCCACAAACAAATGTATATCTACTCTGAAGCAAGTCTTAGACGTTCAGTGAGATTTGCTCCCAGGTACTGTGTATAGAATGGGAGCCACATTACTCCAGGTAATGTGCATTGAATTGAAGCTACAATTCACGAAAACTGCAATCCTTTACCCTCTTACCTGGGTGTTAGTGCCATGGAACTCAGTGGCACTTATTTCTGAGTGGACATGCACAGAATTGCACTGAAAACAACTATAGGGAGTTTTGGTTCCATTGATCACAACATAACATTCTGCCTTCGAAATGTGCTCAGGACTGGGGGTAACATTCAAGTTTTTAATAAATTAATCCTCAAAAGATTTTAATTCTCAAAAGTCTTTTTAGTTTCTCAGCAGCTTCATTAGTAATCTCAGCACTCTTTAGAGAAGATCAATGACAAAATGTGACTTCATAATGGCCGGGACTAAAACAGTTTTGATACTAAGCTTTGAAGCCTGTGTGGAAGTTTCATTCCATTTCACAAATTTCTTCATGGCTTTATAAACCTTCTGAAGACCTTAGCAATGACATTAATTTTAATAGCACAGAACCTACCCTGTAGGTAAAAGCAGAATGCTAAGAACTCTTATAACTGAGATAATATTACTTTATTCTCTTTACAAACAGAAACACACACATCAAGGGATCATAAAATATGAAATCCAGTGAATGTGATTCTTTGCCCCCCTCGAGACATTTCCATGAAGTGTTATCATTTTGACATTAAACACCAAGATTAATGTAATCACTTTTTCTGAAGTAAGTTGATAGTATTTGTGCTAATATTAATATAGGGGAAAAATGAAGGCCAGCTAGGTTTATTGCTGCAAAGCAAGTGTGTAGATTTAAGATATCCTTGCAATCTCCTATATTTAGCAAACCAATTTGAGTTATGTTCTGTACACAAGGTAGGATTCTTACCATAAATCACTCTGCGCAAGCTCAGGTCAATGATAGGCAAATGACTTTCCTTCACCCCTGGCAAGAGTGAAGAGCCATCCACTGAACCCAAGATGTCTAGTATACTAAACTAGTGCTGTCCCAGAGCTTCACTTACTTCCTTACTCCATAGAGTCTTGAGAGAAAGACTGAAGGCAACACCCTCCAAAATGGTGATTTGCAACTCAATACCTTTGTCACCTGATCTAAGGTTACAACACTCACATGTTAGCTAGCAGAAAACAAAAATTGGTTAATTATCTACTCAGCAAGAGCTCAGATGGAATCTCCCCATGTTAGACCTTCATTAATACACAGACATTTTCCATTTCTGTGTCAATTAAACCAATTATACTTAAACATAAAATACATAGCTTTCACTTGCAGTTTGTAGTTCAATAGAAAATGGTTGAATAAACAGTGTTAAACATTAAGTATACTTGTTTAATTCATGCAGAAATGGTAAATGGCTATGTGTATTAATGAAAGTTTAACACCGGGGAATTCCAATGCAGCATACTGTGGGACTTTCAGCTCCTGAATGGGTTAATGATAAACTGTTAATTGTTCTCTATTCTAAACTGAATGTAATCTTTGATAATGTGATGAGGCTATTAAATAAGTGAGGATGTAAATGAAGCTCTCTAGGTAAACAGCTTCAGGCTGATGTAGATGATGCACTGGTTTTCCTTTTGAAGAAAGCTCTGCAAGTAATTATTTGGATTAAACATATGGACCTTGACAACGTTGCTATTCCAAAAGATCTTGTTTTTTATGCATCCAGTAACTTCAAACTGTGCAGTATTAATATCTGCAATTTTAAATTGTTTAAATTCCAGTGGTCCAGGTACTTCATGTAGTGTGTGTGTGTGTGTGTGTGTGTGTGTGTGAATATTGACTCCATAAGTCAAGGGTTAGCAAGCCATTGCCCTCCAGTAGATACTCTAACTACAGTTATTGTGCACTGCTTTAAAGTGTGCTCAGTCTTACTTTTATCACAAGGTTTCCCCTTTATTTTAATCACCATGCAGTAATAGGGATCTCTTGATTACACAGAAGAAAAACTTCAAAATAAATTTCTCTGACTTTTGCCCCGTAGTGCTGTTTTCGAGCATAAATGGCAGCATATATAGACACTTCACACAAAATGTTTCTTGCTTTGTACAATATTTCATCTGCAGTAAAAGTCCATTTCTTTCCCCTTTCTAGCTTAAAAACAAACAAACCAAAAACTGCACAAATTGATGGGACAGGCTGCTTTACCAAAACAAATCACCTGGGATGCCCACTTTAATTGTTTTCCTTCCCCCTGCCTTAGAAAGCTTTGCATTTCCCTTCTTGAAAAATGTGGGCCATATTGTTCAAAAGCATCATTGTCAGATTATCTCACGGAGCTGCCTGAACAATCCATCTCACTGACCACAATGACTTACCTGCAGCTTCTCCTCTACAGGCATCTGAAATCTTGCTTACTGATGTTCTCAGACCCTCCAAGTGTCCCTATTTTTCAGGGACAGTCCCAGTTTTATGAAAGCTGTCCTGGTTTCTGATTTGATCCCAGAAAGTCCCCATTTTCCTTAAGATGTCCCTATTTTCATCAGAGAAATGTTGGCAGGTATGCAGTTATGCGACCCCCGGAGCCAAGGCAATAAATAACTACACAAACTTTAGAAGACATCTGAAGGCAGCCCTGTTTAGGGAAGTTTTATTTTTTTAATAACTGGACACATCTGGGACAGCGGCAGATTTAGATATTTAGGGACTTCACTTCCCATCAGCTCGAGTCACAAGGCAACTGGTCCAGGATGATGGAAGTTGCAGACCAAAACAATTGGTTGAACAATCAACCCTCTTCCCAGGAAACTCTGGGAACTGTGTCTTTCGGAGGGGGAATAGAGGTCTCCTAGCATCACCCAGAGTGGTTGTGGCAAATCATCATCATCATCATCATCATCATCATCATCATTATGGGATAGGACATCCCTATTTTCATCAGAGAAATGTTGGCAGGTATGTGTTCTTTCACTTTCTTGTGCTAAGTGATGAAGCAGAAGTTCAGCAGAAAACTTGGACCCTGGTCATGACTGAACAGTTAGGAACATAAGAATAATTGCTAAACCAGACAAATGATCTAACTAGTCCAGCATCCTCTTTTCTACAGTGGCCAACCAGATGTTCATAGGAAGCCGACAAGCAGGACCTGAGGACAACGGTCCTTGTTCCCCTGCTACTGTTATTCAGAGACACACGCTTCCTCTAATCCTGTAGGTAATAGATAACCATCAAGGTTAGTAGTAGACATTGAAAAGCTTAATCCATTTCTGAAGCCATCTACATTATAATATTTTAAATTAAATTTTCAGTTTTTACAAATTCTCTTAAAATACAATAAGAACAAATAATCTCATATCCTTTGACTTCCCATCCACCCATGGTGTACTTTTATTCCCTTATAAAGCTGCTGTGTTACTTATATTTTACCCTTATGTTTTATATATCAGTTCTAAATTATTGAACTACAAATTCTCATCTGTTGCTACACTTCAAATCCTGCATATGTTTTAAGAGAATCATGATATTTTTTAAAAGATTCCACAAAAGATTTCCATTCTTCAAGAATACCCCCCCCCATTTTGTTCTCTAATTCTCACAATTACCATCTAAATGGGTGACACAAGAAGTGGGGAAGTGGTCCTTCTTTCTTCTCCTGGCCACCACTTTCCCCCTTCAACCCTTGTCCCCAGCCAATCCCTGCCCCCTGGGATTCTCAGATAGGTGAAAAATCTCCCTCTCACCACACTTCTTTTGTGCCAAATATACATTTGCCACAACATTCATCACCACAGCTATTCAGGTATGACCCATGTTTCCAGACCCAGATTTGTCAGTGTAGGACATATTCTTCTGTCTTTACTGAGAAACATAGAAAAAGTTGTCAGTGTTCAAATCATTTATTGAGTGACTGACACAACTTAGACTAAGGCTCTCACAGGAGAAGCACAGCATTCACTCCGCATTTTCAGAATGAGGCCTTTGGGACAGATAGCTGTGTACAGACATCAGCACAAACCTTCACTTAAGGCTGAGCCGTGAAAAGACTAAGGGATGTTCGAAATGAGAGAAGAATATCTTCTTCTTTCCAGATCTTTACCCTGTGACTTATTGCTGAAGTAAAGATTTCAGAGAGATCAAGAAGGGCTTTATCTGTGAGCTAAGTTGCTCTGAACATTTGTTCCTAAGTGAACTATTCCCCTAGGCTAAGCTACATGTTGCCTCCCCAAACACGCACACACAATCGTGATAGTTATATATTACCTGCATGATTTTTTTGTACTTATACTCATCCTCATCCTGTTTCACAATTGCGGGTAGTTGTGAAATTAATGAATGGTAAAAGGTAATACCTTTACTAGAAGCAATTAATACCTTTATTAGGACCAATCTTTTATTAGGATCAATCTTTATTAGGGTGCACTCTCAACTTTAGCTCAACTTCCCACGTGCAATAGGGGTCCAATACCTCTGTAGGCTAAAAGGTAAAGGACCCCTGGATGGTTAAATCCAGTCAAAGGTGACTGTGGGGTTGTGGCGCTCATCTCACTTCAGCCCAAGGGAGCCAGAGTTTGTCTGCAGACAGCTTTTCAGGTCATGTGGCCAGCATGACTAAACCGCTTCTGGAGCAATGGAACACCATGACAGAAACCAGAGCGCACAGAAAATCCTTCCCACCACAGTGGTACCTGTTTATCTACTTGCACTGGTGTGCTTTCAAATTGCTAGGTTGGCAGGAGCTGGGACAGAGCAATGGGAGCTCACCCTGTTATGGAGATATGAACTGTTGACTTCTGATCGGTGACCCCAAGAGGCTCAGTGGTTTAGACCACAGCACCACTCTTTAATACCTCTGTGCAAACAGTCTGCCATGGTGCTGGCAGGCACAGAATGTCCAGAGAGAGGAATTAACTCTTTTTTGGGTCAAAGGTAGACTTGTAAGTTAGGAAAAGGCTTGTCCATCAGTCCTATGTGTCTCAGCTACTCCTAGGTTGGCACCTGATGAGTCAGGTTCTGCAAGAGAGAGGGCCTGCCCCGACCTCATCTTATGTATCTCCCCTATGGTGTGTAACCTGTTTCTGTTCTTCCCACTTCACTCATCTTCTGGTCCTGGGAGACAGTGGAGCAGGAGGGGTGAAGACAGCACAAGAAGCTTCCTCAACTCTTCTTCACTCTCCAGTTTTGCAGCTTCTCCTGCCTCTGCCTCTCGTCTCCCAGCTGCTACAGGCTCCCCCAGATCACCAATCCCTTATTCCAAGTCACTCTCCCACCCCGCCGACTCCTCAGTATCCAGCCAATTCCGGACAGAGTCTGATCTGTAGTATTCGGTGTGAACCACACACTATTTCTCTCCAGTGTGGTGTAGTGGTTAAGAGCAGTGGACTCGTAATCTGGTGAACTGGGTTTGATTCCCTGCTCCTCCACATGCAGCTGCTCGGTGACCTTGGGCTAGTCACACTTCTCTGAAGTCAGCCCCACTCACCTCACAGAGTGTTTGTTGTAGGGGAGGAAGGGAAAGGAGATTGTTAGCCACTTTGAGACTCCTTAGGGTAGTGATAAAGCGGGATATCAAATCCAAACTCTTCTTCTTCTCTTCTTCTCTCCTCCAATCTGCATATGGTGACTGTCAACAGCATTTGCTTTGGAATTTTTATCAGCGAAGTTTTCCTTTTGCTTCAGGCTGAATGGAATTTGAAAGAGCAGGGAAACTGAATCGGAAATGCATAAATCCCATAGATCAGAGTGGTGCTGCGCTGCATTTCCTAGTCACAGGCTCGTAAACACATCTTGATGGATACAATAACAGAATACTGAATGGTATAGTTTTTGTAAAATATGCAGGGATTTATGATATGTAAAATGAACCATGGAAAGAGAAGAAGGGAAGTCATTGGTATCTTAAGGATGTAAAATGAGTACTTTAAATTGTAAAACAGAAAATCTAATAAAATATATATATAAGGAAATAAGAAATGTAGAGTTTCAAGGTACCACGAGGGTCATCTAGTCCAACCTCCTGCAATGCAGGAATGTTGTTGGACTTCAACTCCCATCGGCCTCAGTTGGCAGGTGCAATGGTCAGGAATGATGTGCATTGATGTGCAAGTTTACATACCTCTGTTTTAGGCTGACGATGAACACACTGAAGCAGTTTTATAATTTTATCTTGTTTCCTTTTCCCCCTCAAGCCTGTATAATTTAAATATATGTGGCCTGAAGCCTATAAGAGGAGGGCGTAGATTTCTCCTTCTTCTGGAAACCCAATACCCAGTTCCTAAAAGAATGAAGCATGAGTTGATGAATTGCCCCACGGAGTAATATGACTGCGCTTAAATCTGACAAACCATGCAGGTAAAGTATTCATTACAAATTTGCGCTGACAGATCTGAAGGACAGAAACCTTAACAATGTGCTGTTTAAAACAGCTATCCGGTTACCTAGCTGCCTGATTTATTTGTGAAGTGTACTTTGCAGGAACTGTAAAGTCTGTGGGATATCAAACAGAGAAGCGATTTAGTTGGACAGCCAGGAAACATCAGGATACTTTAAAACTTCCCTGATGAGGGAGGCACAGTAATGGAGCTGAACTGTAGACTCCTTCTGGCAACATGTTTAGCCTTTTACAGGTTTTAAAAGGGGAGAGAAACATCCCCCCCCTCCTCTTAGCAACATTACTCTCCCACAGACTCCTGAAGCCAAGGCAGGCGCTCAAGGTAATGAGGCTCAAAGACAGATCATCCTTAAAGTGGGTCTCTCTTTCAGGCATTTTCTCCACTTATTCCCTCATGAAGCAAGACAGTCAGTGGAAGCAAAATCCTCATTTTATCAGAGCTCTTGCTGTTTATTATACGTGCAAAGAGGTACTTTTAGCAGAAGGCTTTTGGCTATCGAGGGGCACGGGGGACACTGTTACTCCTCTTTCAGCTGCGAAAAAGACAAATTCCATGTTAGGGATCGTTGGGAAAGAGATTACAAAACAGAAACAAAAACCTACCAATATCGTAACGCCATTACAGAAGTCAACAGTGCAACCACATGTGGAATACTGCGTACAGCTCTAGTCACTGTAGCTTGAGAAGGATAATGCAGATCTGGATTTTTGATTTATGTGGAAGTGGTTCAGTTTGAAGTTTTATTTATTGTTTTTGAGTAATTTTGTTCTGCTTGTAATTATGTTTTTTTCCCCTTGATGCAAGGCAGCCTGATCATTATTTTGGCTATGGATAGGTAGCATACAGATAGCGTGATTTCAGAATCATAGAGTTGGAAGGGACCCTGAGCGTCATCCAGTCCGACCCCTGCAATGCAGAAATATGCAGCTGTCTCCTATGGGCTCAAATCTGCAACCTTGATTGCGCTGAGGTAGGAAGGCGCTGCCAGCTTTTATGCTTTGCTGGCTGCCCGGGCAGGCATGCAGCCATTGCCCCTTTCAGCCACCAAGGCGCACACCTCAGATAAGGCCATACATTGGCCAATTTGGACTGCAGCAGCTGACAGGCACTCGAGCCAGGAAGCCAAAGGGAATTCTCTCAATGGCCGCCTGGCCATGTATATTGTGTTCTTACTGCCCTGGGATGGCAACCAGGTGCCCACCTAGTAAAAAGGGTAAGCAACCATTATTGTGAGGCTTCAGGGAATCAGCTTCCTCCCCCAGGGCAGTGAACAAAGGATCAAACAAAAGGAACGCCTTACCAGTTAGAATCTTCACAGTGAGAGAACAAAGAACATGTCTCCTAGAAATGGCGGTGCTCCCAGTTAAGGATTTCACCTCCTTCAGTCCCTGTTAATCTATGTCACTCCTACGTCTTGTAATCTGAGCTTGTACCCTCTGTGCTTTCTGTTCTGACACTTTCTGAGCTCTCCTTGACTTTGGAGAAGGGGAGGTGAATGCTGTCCAGAGACTGTGAATCTGTTAACCCTCTCTCTCCCAGTGTTTTTTCTCCTAGCTATTCCCCATCCAGTATTTCCCAGCTTCTGCCTTCTGAACTATGCCCTTCTGCAAACCACTGTTCCAAATCTATACTGTCCTCCTGCTCCTGGGAAGATTCAGGGTCAGGATCAGGGGGAGGGGGTGGCTCCCACCATTCTTCCTCAGTGCAGCCCTCCTCAGCACGGTCCCTGACAATTATTGGCACCATGCTATAACCAAGTGAGCTACCCAGCTGCAGTATGTATCTATATATGCATGTATGCATATTGCTCTGGTGCCCCAAAGAAAATAATATGGATCCTTCTCTGGGGATAGAACTCCATAAACAGGGTGCTACCACCAAGGCAGCCCTGCATCTTGTTGCAATTAGGCTCTTACCTTTGATGGGGTGGTGACCTAGAGAAGAGCTTGAAAATGATTTACAGATGAATTTAACTCCGAGTAGGCTTGCTAAGATGTATAAGACTGAATGAGATAAGTACTGGAGCTGCAATGAGGTCGAGGGTACGTTCTTTTATATGTGGTGGACCTGTGAAAGGGTAAAAGAGTATTGGGAAATAATTTATGATGAATTGAAAAAATGTTTAAAAGCACTTTTCTATAATAATAATAGTAATAATAATAATAATACCCCACACAAAAATCCGAGTCCTTTTTGTTGGGGATAACTCAGATGGAAATTCCCAGGTGTCCAAAAAAGGTTATTTATGTATGCCACTACAGCAGCCCATGTTTTGTTAGCCCCCAAATGGAAAACGAGCAAGGTCCCAACTAAAGAAGAATGGCAACTTAAGCTGATGCACAGCTTGAAGACTGAACACATAGAATAAGAGAACAAGAAGAACATTCATTTAAAGAAGATTGGAAAATGTCTATTGAATATATGGGGGGGAACTTTGTACACTTGAAAACCTTGGCAGTATTAAGATAAATTCAACAGTGTAAATAAGTTTCGATGGAAGTAATAATGGAATATTGAATGGTTTAGTTCAGGCTTCCTCAACCTTGGCCCTCCAGACGTTTTTGGCCTACAACTCCCACGATCCCTAGCTAGCAGGACCAGTGGTCAGGGATGATGGGAATTGTAGTCTCAAAACATCTGGAGGGCCAAGGTTCAGGAAGCCTGGTTAAGTTTATATAAAATTAACCATGGAAAGAGAAGAAGGGAAGTCAGTAATATTTTAAGGTTGTTTAAATGAATATTCTAAATTGAGAGAGAGAGAGAGAAGAGCCTGAAGATGCCCTCTGGATGGGCAGGCTGGTTATGGGAGCAACTATTCCTTCAAGTACTGCGTTTCATTTAGGTTTTTAAAAAGTGAGCACCAGCACTTTGAATTGTGCTTGGAGATAGGTAGGAAGCCAGAGAAGTTCTCTTAATACCAGCAACATACCTTCCTACCAAACCGCAACTAACCAACGACCTAAAACAACTTGTTTAACACTCACTCATCAGCTGCACTTGGTACTGTTCTTTTTACTTTGCACTCAAAATACCCTCCAACATCCCTCAGATGAAAATAGGGACCTTCTGATCTGCATCCCTGCCTGAGCATTTCTTCCTGGTCAAGTACAAAAGCTATTAGAGGAAACACTTGAAACTGCCGTATTTTAAGCACAGAAATCTTTGAATTTATGCATTGCATTTAGGGAAGCCCGAGGGGAAAAGAAAACCCCAAATCAATAAATACAACTAACTGTGTGTGTGTGTGTGTGTGTGTGTGTGTGGAGACTATGTGAAGTCATCATGCATTTAGGATTATTTTGGAAGTATGATAACTTTGAACAACATTATTGCTGTGATTGTGCAGGTGTATGATATGATATGATATGATATGATATGATATGATATGTATATATCCAGGGACATATAAACTTGTGAGCCTTGGGGATACATAAACATCTCCTTTTTATCGTCTCAAACTTCTGAGCAAATTAGGAATATGTAAGCATCTGCAGCTTCCTAGTGTTGTGGTGAATCTTGGATGGATCAGCTGCACAGACCCCCCCCCAGGACCTCCTCCCCCAGTTGCCCTGGGACTCCACCCCAATGCACAAAATGGGGAGAACCATCAGATTTCAGAAGGCACCACTGATTCAGTTCAAGGGAGAGATCAATGTCTTTCCCCCATCCATGGGAGAAGCCAGGCAGGTAGGTACTTTGGAGGGAGGCCTTTTTGCTCCAGAGGACCCCCCTCCCTCATCTCCCTAAATTCTCTACCTCTCTAGGAATCTAAAGGTAAAGGGTAAAGGGACCCCTGACCATTAGGTCCAGTCGTGGCCGACTTTGGGGTTGCGAAGCTCATCTCACTTTATTGGCTGAGGGAGCCAGTGTACAGCTTCCGGGTCATGTGGCCAGCATGACTAAGCCACTTCTGGTGAACCAGAGCAGCGCACGGAAACGCCGTTTACCTTCCTGGCAGAGCAGTACCTATTTATCTACTTGCACTTTGACGTGCTTTCAAACTGCTAGGTTGGCAGGAGCAGGGACCGAGCAATGGGAGCTCACCCCATCGCGGGGATTCGAACCGCCGACCTTCTGATCGGCAAGTCCTAGGCTCTGTGGTTTAACCCACAGCGCCACCCACGTCCCTAGGAATCTATTCTGGTTCATTTTAAGCCAGAGAGAGAGAGCCAAACTGCAGGGTTAGAT